GTGGATAACATTACCTGTATTCCGTCTATAGTGCGGTAGAAGGGGTCAATGATCAGCTGCGCAAGTGAGCAGACTTGTGCGGTCCGATCCCAACCGTCGGAACAGTGTACTAAAACAGAGTATCCCGCCTCCAGTCGTTGAGCAACGTAGAATGCGGCCTCGAGGATCTTCCGGTTTGACCGAAGCCACGAGGACTTATCGATGGCAATATTGAGATCTTCTACCGAGATCCGTGGGTCATGGAAGGCTACAGAGTAGAAATAACACCATGCTTGATGTGCCAAATTCCTACATTACTTATTCTTATAATTGTGAGACAACCATCTTCTGGACGCTCGTATTACTCGACATTAAATATAGCCGGATTATGCTGGAAGCGTGAGAAATTACAGGCAGTCGTGAGCTAAATTCCAAGGACATTAGGTGTTAGGGTTGGGAGACGAGATTAGGTACCACCCTCAAATCAAACGCAAGGCCACCTATTATATGGCAGGGTATTTATTCTCGTGTCCACCTGTTCTTGTCTCGCCTTCCTGAAACCATGGTGGCATGCGTTTTCTGTCTTTTTAACAGGATTCACTTGTTTAACAAATGTAGTTTGTTCAAAGAACAAACTGAGGGAATAAAGGCGCCAATTGACAACTTCTCTCTACCCTAGGATTGTTTAAAGTAGTTTCAGTGATTTGAGGTGCTCGAGAAATCACTTAAATCGAGCGTGGCCATTGTATCGCTAAGCCCTTGGCATCGAGGAGAGATGGGAACGCCGATTTCTGTCCTGCGACAGATCAGAATGGGGGAGTTTAGCGTGACAAAACTCCAAACTCTGTCACACCATAACGCCCACTAGTGTGAAGTTTTCATGGGCTGTTAAACGAGGAATATGAGTACCAACCAGTTTTACTCGCTCAATTTCCACCAACAGTCTTGAACGTCAGAGATTATTTAACACTAACGGGTAAGACTGACTTAGTCTTATCCACCTGCATAAAAGAAGTATAGACTTTACTCATAGTGGTTACGGTTAGGGCTAGAGTTACGATCGTGATAAGTACTAAGCTTAAGGCGGGGTTATGGTTAGGATATACCTGGGACTCATGGGCGAAAGACAACTGAGTGAACTAGACACACAACAGATACAGAGGTGTTTGGAACTGTTCATAATTAGCTATAGAAAACGGCCAACAGACCATTATGTGAAAGCTAGCAGCCTCAGGCAATGGAGAAACACTCTTGAGAATTTTAAACGGGCCAAACGGTAACCCGAACGCAAACAGCAGACCCACCTTTGATCAGTTTTTCAAGGGATGACCGGATGGCGTGGATATTGGGTATATCAAAGAAACGCAGATCAATGCCTTTGTAGGCCTGAATGTCCTCATAGCCCTTGCCCTGGGCCCGGTTTGTTAACGCGTTTAGATGAGGTCGCGTGTCAACAACGTGGAGGATCTGCTGCAAGGGGTTCGCATCACGAATGTGTCGGAGGAAAGCCTGGTCCTCATGGCTGCGGCTTGAAAAACCGGAGAGGGGTTGACTTGATCTGCACAGGGCTGCCTGAAACAGAGAGAAACCGATAGGATTAGACGAACGAATTGTCACAGAACTTTGGGGTCCTAGAGTAACGGTATAAACGGGTCTTTACTGCCTTTATTAGTGTATAATAATCAGCTAACTCGATTTTTCTAGCAGTGCTGGACAAATAAAACAGCTTGAATTTACAGTCTTACTAAGCATCGATTATTGGTGCCCTTATAAATTGAAACATATTTTATAGAAAACATGTTGATCGCACTCATCTGGTGGAAAATAACATTTTCAAATTTTGTACTGGAAGAAAGGGTATCTTTTGGTTTCAAGAAAATTCTAATTAGGGTATTTTTAAGACTATGAAATGTTCATTCGTAAAGCATTACATTTGTACTTTTTTCCATACTGCTTGTTAAGTATACAACATGATCCGCATCCATTGCAAAGCTTTATGAGCGCTATATTACGCCTTCTAATAGCGCAGATGCATGTGTGATTTCTCATAGACGGAAGGCATAGAGCTTGTAGTTTTGAAATCCTGAAAACTCAACGGCGGCTGGAGTGCAAAATTATTCAAGAATTGCAAGTTTTTTTTAAAAAAAAAAGGAAAAATACCCCTAACTTAATTACGAAATTTTAAAATGGAACTTGCTATAAAATAAGTATAAACAATAATACTTTGTGCATGTTTTCTACGAAACGCATTTCAACGCGTAAGGGGATCGAAAATCAGTGGAAGAACTGTACTATTTAAGTAGCCGTTTTTAAAGGGTAGTTTTTGTGGGCGGTTAAAAATTATTTCGTTCAAAAGCCGGCATCTTCACATGATTAAAATACCTTTGGATTATGTCACATGATAAGTAATACTATAAAATTATTTAAGTAACCTCTCCCAGTTGAAAAAAAACAAATTTCAGAATTTCGGTTAGCATTTCATGAGACAGCCCATTTACCGCACAGCAATTTTTAAGAGGAATGATTCTGAATTTAACGGATAAATGTGTACCATTTGAAGTTAAAAAAAAGAAAGCATACGAAAATGTGGCTTATCAGAAAATGATCATTGACAAAGACAACCGGTACAGGAATAACCTATTATAGTTTGTTTCCCATTATCAGCGGTTCGAAACAAACCCCGGAATCGGGGATCTGAAGCTCGAATTAGGCATAGCTGGCTGGAGAAGATGCATAGGCCCCTCCAGTCTTCCTTTCCCGACACCGGGTTCTATTACTGTCAGCCTGACGCTATGCGACTACATGTGTGGATGCCAGACGACTGATCCAACGTAAAAAAAGATATGCTTTGAGTTCCTTAAAAGTAATTCTTTACGTTTGGAAGGGAGTATGAGGCAAGTGTGCGCGAGCAGAGCTTTTTGGAACTAAGTAGAATAGACCTAGCAATTGGTTAGCATTCAACAGACAATACTTTGGAAACGCCGCCCTGTGGAGCTATGTCCGTGTGTCTTGCCTTTTGGGCTCTCCATCAAAGGCGTTCTGGATAAGATGTAGCGTTTCTGAGCAAAAGATAAAAGTATTACGTAGAAGTCTCGATTGAAGGGGTCCATCAATTTGTATTTTATATCCGCACACACAGCTGGAATGATAGTTTTGGGGGCGTAAACATAGTTGCGTTAAAAGCGAGGCAGGGATAAGTCATTAGGTTGGACTAGGTGGACGGGGTATAACAAAACCCGCGATTCAAAAGAACGAGCGACGCTGATGAATGGGCACAAAAAAGAAGGCTACGTTCAAAAACGTCAAAATATTAAGGGACACGAACTAAAGACGACTACTCAAAGTCCATGGGCATGTGCACTTGGCCATAATTAATGCTTTGAACAGACAAAGATAATTTTGGGGTTGGGTAAGTATGCAGAACATCAAAATGGGAGTCGATGCGAAGAGAGGAGGTGTAGTTTTAAGAATCTAAAGGGGAACTGTATCATTGGTTTTCTTCGAAACCAGTGCGCATGCTTTTCGCGTTAAGGCATAGGCATAGTAGGGTGCATTTTACTTCACAAAATTAACAAGTTCCGGAGCATGAGCAGACACTTAGTTGACGAATCACTTACAGATGATGCCATATAATTGGGATTCTTGCATGATCCATGGACCACACACCCATGGGACTTTTCCCCTAAATCAATAAAGGTCTTACCTAATAAATCATCTTTAAGACTTTAAAGTTCTGATTTGCTGTGGCAGGGCTTTAACTATGCATTTCACTTACAATTAGAAAGTCAACCAGGTGATCTCTGTTAAAATAGTTTATACGTTTTAGTTTGTTTGAAAAAAAAAGTCATAAGCACGACTTGTATGGCTGCTTAAACAGGAAACGAGAAAATAAATGAAACATTGCTCCCCCGGAAGAAATTTTAACGTCATACAATTTGGCAACCCCCTGTTCGACTGCAAACTGTCATTGCCTATTAATAGGATAAGTTAATTTATCTTATAAATAAGCAATGACCGTTTGCAGTTGACGTCAATGAAATCTGCTGATCTCGTGAGCCTCGCCTCGTTCGAGAATATAAATGCCCCGCCCACTTAAAATAGGTGGCCCTACACTAAATTCCAGCAATGGTTAATATTCCCTTGTCCTAACCCTAAAACTACTCTTAAAATAAAACTATACCGGAGCCTTAACCTTAACCCTAGCCATACCCTAAACCTGAATCCTGCAGTTAACACGACCCTAAACCTTAAACGGCAAGGATAGCTTATAGCTACCACCACAGAACCACTTAACCCCAAAAATCTGTTATACGCAAATTATAGTTATGTAGAAAATACTTGTTTTACAGGTAGCGATAGCAAATAAAAATAATGATTAAGCCTACTATGATTGATTCTTTAAAACTATTAGCAACAACTTAAATGCAACTATCTACATGGCAGATATATAGATACTTTGATATAGTAGCATTTCGGCAAAGGTAGGCATCCTAGAATAGCTATTTCTGGCTGTATTGGCCGTCGTTAGCTAGAGATAGCCAACTCTAGTGTAGCCGCGGAAATTGCTGCCACACTCGAGTTTCGAACTCGCGTCTCGTCGGTCAGAGGCAAACGTCCTAACCATTGAACCACGAGTTTGCTGCCTTGCCGGTTGCTGGTCGGGGGTAGACAGAAGTAGTATTGTATATATAGTAGTATAGTGGTAGTATATAGTAGTAGTACTATAAACTTTGATACTACGGAAACGTATCATAAATAAATAAGCTTTTCATTAGTTGGAAAGTTTGGTTCCTATCGAAATATGTTGTTCTATGGATATACTATCTCTGCATGCGAATGGAAAAGCTTCCAGTTTAACACCGGTCCCGGAAAAAAATATATCTGCGGGTTGCACTTACTTTGATAATGCTTAAAACCTATGTAGACTTCCTTAAACCTTAACGTAATCCTGACTCTAACCCCCAACTCTTACCTTAAACCCAACATCACGCCCTATTCCAAACTTAAGCCACGCCTTCAACTAGATTTGGCATAAGGCTATACGCATTACGAGCGGTTTCTGGGTCCCGTGAGCATACACGTCATACTTAAAAGAGAAAAAACCTGTTTAAAAACTTCTGCTATCTCGAACAAAACACCCCTCAGAATAAACATACAAAAGACGGTAGTACGCGAGAAATTACCGCCGACAGTCCGAGTCGCAACAAAAAAGAGCTACGAGCAAAAGAAGCAACGCAGACATCAGATGTTCTCTGGTGTATGCTTGTGGAAATTAAGTTAGGCTGCAATTGATGGAACGGGCCGGGCGGCTGGATGGAATACGGGTGCCTCAGTCTCGAGAACCTCTTAGTGGTTTGATTGTGACGAAAGGACGAAGGTTGGGAGATATAACTGACATAGGCTTGAAGGATTTAAATAGTTCCTTCCGACTTATTGGCCACTTGTCAACATACAAAAAGTGGAAATGGTTAACTCAATCGCCCCTATCCTAGTCACTGTTTTGGTTGTGAAAAGACGATATAGTTTTTGTTTAAAACATCGCTTAACGTAAGCAGATATGTGGTGTCACGAAAGGCATGCAAAAACATGAAATCAATCCGACTGAGGTTTACCCACCTTTTTGTTGGGGTGCAAGTAAGTTAGCACAGGGAGCCGGCCACGAGATCGAAATTTGGAACTGCCGACAATTGTGGACGTGGTGACGGTAGCGGGGACGAAGAGGAGCGAGGGATAGGTGTCACATAACTAAAACGAAATAATGGCAAAATGCGAATAGAATAGGAAGTCTTAATTGTGATTGGTGCCAAGGCGAGGCCCAATAACGACAAATACGACGCAAGCACTGGATTTCAACAGCAGCCATCCACAGGCACAAATTCCGTTGCGTAAGGACGCCATATCGGTGTGTTGAGACGCACTGCAGATAATCGGAAGACTGGGTTACAATGACCCTAACAAGTGCTCAGGCGAGACACAAAGTCCCACCTACCCCAAATTTGGCGAGCGCTTCCATACGTCAAGAACGTCTTCGAAGCCGTCAGCCGTCTTCTCGTACCACTCTGAATTGAAATTGCACACAGACTAGAGGCAAAGGGTAAGGAGGCCAAAAGATCAACTACTACGGGCAGAAATGGCTGGATCTTTTATCGCATCTAGTGCAGTTGCCGGCAGAACGACTAAGTCAGAGAAATTTGAGGGTTGCTGTTATTAATTTGGTCCAGTAGGACAATCTTGTCAGTCTAAGTTAGATCTTGTTTGATATCTTAGTTCTGTGCGGACTGTGTGACCAGACGATCTTAACCTGAAATCAAGCAACCAATACCATTCAGGTGAACCCTGGTCTAGTGTGACAAAAAGCCAGAAACAGGCAACTAGAACCCCTCATTGCATTGAAGTCAAAACTTCTGCATAACATTGTGCACCTACTCTGAAAGAAGCTTTCGCGGTGGGTTATTTGAGAGATGGAAGGTACCTTATAGGACTGATTCTGAATTGTCTCCTTCCAGGCTACGTTGGGGATGCCCATGCGACTGAAGTCGTTCCTTAGGGGGTGCAGGTCCCAGCCCTCGCCGCGTTCCATGGGGACACCCGGAGGCAGGTGACGAAAGCAGGGCAGGTCATTTATTGTGGCTATAGTGGCGGGGAGGGGTAGGGGAGAGTAAAATAGAGCAAAGCAGAAAGAACGAATGCAGAATGCTGGGTGTAACGAGGGTTGAAGATATGTGCAAGCGCAACCGAGAGATCGTAAAAATTTGAATATATGCACGAGTTGGAACAAAACCTACTATTTTACCTCCTGAACATATAAGGTGTCCGGCTATACAACCTAAGGGACTTCAGGAAACCGCGACCACGTTGCTGCATTGAGCATCCGATAATTGATGCACTGAATTACCACGGCCAATTAGGTTCGGTGTCAGATGTAATGCAAAGAATCAACCATGGGGCTGAATTTGATTCATAGTGAGGCATTTTGGTTAACAGTAAGTAAATACTTATTCAATTAGCCCAATTGTGAAACATTCGTAGCCTCGGTGGGGCTCGAACCCACGTCAGCAGGAAAGGCCTTAGTACAGCCAACGCTATACCAATTGGGCCGCGAAAGCACGCCAGAGCTTTGAATTAAATCACACTTGGCTCGATTTACCCGCCCAGCCTACTGCACGTATGAAATTCACCAATAGGAATACAATAAGCTAACTGCCAGGCAGTATTTCCTGAGTAATCATCTAGAATCCATCGGATGGACTACCGGATTAACCTTAATTATTAGAGGGTTTGGCAGATTTATATATATTTAGTACAGCCAACGCTCTACCTCCGTAGCTCAAGTGGGCGAGCGTTGGCTGTACTAAAGCCTTCCCTGCTAATGTGGGTTCGAATCCCACCGAGGCTACGAATGTTTCACAATTGGGCCAATTGAATTATCCAAATCTGACATACCTCTAGTAGCTACTCATAGATTAATACGCTCAGTAAGCCAATACCTCTCCCGAAGATGTTGACTTATCATCTCCACAATCTATTTCAACTTCTTCCTAGGTCTGGTACCGGGCATTATGACATGATGCTTATAGGTTAAAGCCCTGATTAAGGAACAGCTGTGCATTTGAGTGTGGTGACAAAGCAAGAGCAGAAATTTAAAAACAAAGAAGTTGGGTGACAGAACACCATAGTAAAAAGTCGAGAGGAAGTGGAGTGTCCTATGTCTGGGCACTCCTTCTCTCCTTGTGACAAGCTAGAAGTAAAGCTAAGCCCCGGCCGGACTAGCAGCAATGTGTCGTCATTCAGAGTTTGACAGAATCGAATATTCCAACCAGGAAGTAAATGGTTCGCATTGAAACAAATATTTTTTCTCTACTTGCTGAATAAGATGCTTCATGCTAATGAGCGCCAGTGGTCGATAATTTACCCTGCCAGGATACCAAGCATCTAGGAGGTAGATTAAACCACCAGGATGGAGATAAACTAAAGTGTATACGGAAAAACTTGACGATGTCTTAGAAGACCCGCGTTAAGATGGAGACATTGTAGTCTGTTGCTCATTCCTGAGAAGAAGCAAGTTATCCAGACAGTTGCAATCTACCAAGCCACGACCCTTGGTGCGTCGTGGCAGATTTCAACGCATCAAATTTGCTAAAGGTGATGAATGTGCTGATTTGCCGTGGGGATGGATTCCCTGTGCCGTCTTAAGTCTCCCGTGTTTCTATCTCGCCCGTGCACCAGTCGGCTGTCCCAACATCTCGGCCAACTGGTGATGGAATTGGGCGCAGTGTCTGACACGGCCTGTGTTTGAGGCGTGTCTCTACAAAGATGCACGACAGTAGTTATCA